GCCGGCGGCGGCTGCTGGACTGCTTTCTCGGTCACCGTAATGCTTTCGGCCTGCTCGGTGGACATCTTCTTTTTGCAGTCTGGAGTCTTTTCAAATTAAATAATGTAATAGAAGACTAGCGTTGTTGATTTTAACGAGTCAATAACCGATCACCACTGCGACACCAACAACCGAAAATGGCGGAGAAAGAGCAGGTTGGAATTTAAAAAGATGGGATGGAAGCGTCTACATCCGATTTTTTACTTTCAAAGTAAGAGTCCTTGCAAATCACAATGGAGATTTTCAGAATAAGAGTGCCCAGAAGCCGACAAATGAATATAATAATGTGATTTGTTTGCGTGTATGTTTATAGGAACATTTTCTTAGTTTGCTGATTGATAATAATGTGTGTCTCCTTTTTCATAATTTCACTTAAAATGATCCTTATCTAGTTTGCTATTAAACAACAATATAAAACATACAATTATATTCTGTACACCATAGTGTAGCATTACTGAACATTACATCCTTGAACTGAAGCATACAGACAGACTCATTTTAAAACATTTATTAGATATCTTAATATTTTATTTGTTGTATATTCATTGATGTGAGAGGCAGATAATCAGAATCCTCTTTATTGGTCAAGTATGTGTTCAGAATGTAACTTTTTTGTTTGTGTTTCCCTCAAGGTACATAATCAGATAGACATACAGGTGAAACACAGTGAATCAACTCCAAAGAGGAAAACAATGACAATGGCTAGCATAACATTTGGAGCTTGGTTTCCTGAACATGTCATTAGAAAAAACTGGACTTAATCCTCCGTTGCTTTCTCACTGACTTTTCATTTCCGTTTATTACACAACAATTACCACAGCCTCGTTAATTCCATATGAGATTGAATCAAACCACAGACCTTCAGCTTGGTAGACATCTATTTACCCCTTAAGCTAAATCCACCTGTAGAGGTTTCATCAAAATCTTAACAGTTGGGATTCTGAATTCAAAGATCATAATCGGTTTGGCTTTTTACAATATCTCAACCGCGAACTACAGAAACAAAGCAAAGCAGACCTGTACATTCGTGTACATGTCTCTCCAAAATGCACTCTGCCACGCTGGGAATCAAACCACCAACCTTCTGACTCTTACATCCACTTACCCTTTGAGCCAAAGCATCATGTTTTACTTATGTCATGTTCTGTCCTCCATACATGTGTGGTCGTTGTGTGCATAAAGGCAAAAATTCAATCGAAATCCCATCACAGCAAGACCTATAGTTAGGTGTTCATTGTTTAAAAACACATTGGTGGTCCAGAGGTTTATGCATTGGTTTTTCATGCAGCTGCTTGAGCTTCAACACCCAGGTGAGGGACATATGGTCTTCTGCTATGCTATATGTTAAATTGTCCCCTTTTTCTAACACGTGACGCCCTACAATATAATATTTTGGAAAATATTTGTATACAAAGCTACCTCTTTTAATATATGCACAGCTTTCACTGTTCGTTACAACACTGCACATTTTCTTATCCGAGTATTATGTCATCTCATACTATAGTTTTTTTGGTACATCTATATATTTCATGTAAATATTTCTCTATAATTTAATGTTAAAATAGTATTAATATATAAATGGTTTACATTTTTGGTCGTTTTTCTTACAATGTATCTTCTTTAACTGTGTTTATTACATTACATTGCATTATAAGCGTCTTTGAGTTTTTAGAAAAGCGCTATATAAGTGTCATGTATGTATTATTATTATTACATTTCATTTGGCTGACGCTTTTATGTATGCACCATATACACAAAGAAACATTTCTCGTATGTGTTAACTTACTTGGCAATACACCTGTTTCTGATTCTGCAAGTCATCATCACAACCAAATACAATAAACATAAATGCCGTTTTACAAAGGAAAATCTCTATCAAGAACATTCAAACATCAACATTGTCTGAATATTAATTTATTATAACTCCTTTTTCAGCTTCTTATTTGTTTGTTTTTATATTAAGGGCTCAACTTTCTCTTCTTATATATTTCTTAAATGTGTTTATCTTTGTAAAGTACAATCCTTATTATATTTGTCTGTTTTCTGGTCGTCCTGCAGCTCATCATTCCGGCCACAGAGGGGCAGTAGATAATTTTCACAGAGCCAAACCGGAAGTTGAAGGGACTATGAAAGTCAAACTGTAGCATGGTGAGCGTTTTCACATAACCTACAGGGAAAATGTCTTTGTACACTTTATTCAGGATAGTAACGCTATCCAAAGGTATTGCAAACAACGCCACAACGTCGCTGTGCAGAACGAGCGCTCTGAACAGAATACAGACATGTGGATATGCTAAGAAAGTTGGTGAGTAAAGAAGATAAGTGCCATGTATCTTCAGTATATCTCAATGTTTTCCAATGCATACTGTGAATTAAATGCGGTTACCAGACATCGATGTAAAGGACAGGTGTCCAGAGTGGAAAGCATTTTGTGGATAAGTGTTATGTTATTATTTGACGTTATATATCCATGTATACCATCTAAATCACATGTCTGCTCATGCTATTAAACAATTATTATCAGTGGTTATTATCTTATTATAGAAGTTATTTAAATAAGTACTGTCCTGAAGTGTAGCCATGACATACTTCTACTTAACTTGAGTAGTTCCAATATGCAACTAATTAAATTCAAGTCATATAATTCACACTTACCAGTTAATGGATACGTTTTGCATTTAAAAAACATAGATACAAACTCATGATATGCCTATATGATATGATGCAGTACTATACTACTAATCCCACTTAGTAGTATATTTATGTTCGATACTTTTAAGTATATGTTGTTGATAATAATTCAGTGCTTTTTTAAGAAACATTCTGGATTTATGATTTCCACCTGTAATAGTGTTTTCAAAAGTATATCTGATGTTACTTAAGGAAAGAATTGGAGTACTTCTTCCACCGATGAATATTATGTACAAAATCTCATTGGCTTTATTTTTCTATTTTCAAACAGCTCATATCAATAACCCTGATCGACATGTCACTGTAAAGTAAACATTACCATTTGCTGTTCTTTGCAGTGGCTAAAGTTAAAGGCAAAGGGATGATGAAACAGGATCTGCAAGGTCCCGAGGTTTGTACAGACCCCGTCAGACTCACTACTCATGCAGTAGGGGCCAACATCTTCAAGCAAGGAGAAGACCCCCAGCTGAAACCTCATGACCAATATCCAGAGTGGTGAGGAGGACACACATTTATTTTATTTCTGACACTTCTATTGCTTTCTGTCCGCATCACTTACAGCTAACCTCCTCTCCTTCAGCATTTTGTCAAATTGATGATTTCTCTATTTTCAGAGATATCCAGCAACCTTTTTTTATCGTCCATTCTAACAGGAGATAAAAACTATTTAGACCAGTCTTAGAAAAAGCGTCACCTTTCCTTTTGTTCTTTCTCTCAGGTTGTTCGAGTTGAACCTGGGAACGGCCAAAAAGCTGAACGAGATGGAGCCGGACACCTGGGAATACTGGCAGCGCCTGAGGAAGGAGAATATTTGGCGTCATAACAAACTGCAAAAAGGAAAGAAGTTTTAACTCGCACTGGACTGACTGATCACTTCTTCCTGTTCATTGGGTTGCTTCTCCCTGGACTGAATTAACTGACATAGTATACGTTCTGAGCCAGAGTTCCCGAATGCCGCTTTAAGTGTGTTGATTCAAATCATGAAGAATCTTTAATGCCACTCTGGTGACAATACCTGAAAGCTATAAAGTACAAAAATACAGGAACTTTCTGAACCAAAACGGAATAACACAAGAATGGTGACCTTGGAAATTTGAGTGGCTGACAAGCTCCATTTTGGAGTTGTTCTGGAGCTTTTACATCTTCTTCAGCAGACACCATTTGTGCAGTTGTGATGACATTTTAACATTCACATTTCATAGATTGTGTGATACAATCAAAACTCACAAACTGCGTGAAGTGAAGCTTGTGTTACATTCTTGTCAATTTCAAAAAGGTAGTTATACATTCTTGGCTTCCAGGATTATTCATTGCATTTACATAAATTGTATGTATAAAACACATGTATGTTTTTTCAGTGGTTTTTTATTCAAACCTGAAGTGTGATGGCCTGCTCATATTTTGACAACTCATGTTGATAATGTTATTTCGTTTTTTTTGCAAAGCCATTATACAAATAAAAAGGAAATATCCTGCACATTTTGCCTTGTTATTCTTTCTTCAATCAACATAGAAAAGACATTTGAAAAAACGTGTTTTATATACTTGTGTGTTCTATGCAAAAAAAAAAATACTTATTTGTAAAGTAACTTACTGGCCTTATGATGCTTTTTGGGGTTTTCCCTTTCCTGTAGTGTGTTACACTATAAATGGTTTTGTCCATGATGGTCTCCAAAGGCTAAAATCCCAACGTTCTCTCCGGCACACTCCCCCACCCGCTGCCTGAAATGCCTCCATTGGACTCCTTTGTTTACTACTGTAACATAGTGACATCACTATGTAACACTCACCGATCTATTGGCTAGTGCTCCAGCAAATTGTACGTGATAGGCTAAGGGGCGGGCCATCTCTAAGCGGTTGACCAATCACAACGGAGCCGGCCAACTAACCAATGAGGGCAGACTCACTGGTCTCTGGTTTCAGACAGAGGGTGAAAAGAGGTGCTGCAGCACAGACAGTATGAGATAAATAAAGAGCTTTTTGAACATTAAAGCATGGAGACATGTCAAGAGAGGCACAAAATACAAATATGAATTGGACCCCTTTACATTGCTAATACAATTAACTCCCTTTGGATTGTTGCATTTAAAAGTACTCAAAGTACACCTTAAATGTGCACTCGAGTAGAATACTTGAATAGAGTACTTGTGTATTATACTCCACCCAATCAAAGATATGTACTACTCCTCCTTCGTCTTCTGTAGTTAGCTTCAATAATATGATGTTGCTATGACAACACTATATGCAAATTACCGGGGATGTAATGAGGAACCGAAATCAGAGGAAGAAAGTCATCAGGGGAACAAAATCTTTCTGAACGAACGAGGGCCATGCAGCAGAAAGGTCTATTTTAATGTAAGGGCGGTCGTTCCTGCTTCACTGGACTTGTTCATCTTTGACTACTTTCTGGAAATTCGGTAAGTTTTCTTCACAACTTTGATAAATGATAATGGCGGAAGAAGCTGCACAGTGGCAGTTATTAATCGACGTCACGATGTTTAGTTTGGTGTAAATACACTTCGTAGTATCCTTTTTTTTTTGCTTTACTTTTCCGTGATTAGTTGTTTTTTTGAGTAGGATTACCATCTCCTTTCGTGGTTTTACAATTATAGGTATTTGTTATAACATGAGCTTCGATACTGTCTTTCACAACCTACAGTTTTCTGGCGTAACCTATGGGCGTAACGTGTACCCGAACGCGACTTAACTATCAAAGCACTGGTTGTTTGACTGGTGGATTTTTCGGTGTGTTAGTGGTGTTTAACGAAGATGGAAGAGGGAAAAAGCATCGGTTCCTTGACTGAACAAGTGCTGAACAGGCTGTCAAAGATGTTGGACAACTCCACCTGTGGATGGAGGCAGCTGGCAAACGCTGTGTCTGAGCAGCCGAGATTCCGCTGCAGGTGAGAGACATTGAAGGCACCACGCAACTTTTCTCTTGAAATTATAACTGACGTTTACACTTCATCCTACAGTGCAGGGAATCTTTTATACAGTTTTTCCTTATATTTGAGTTTATGGAAGTAATACTCAGTTGTTTTACTTAAGTGATATACGTTATAACCTACTATACAATTTACAGTTACAAGTACAAATGCTGCATTCAAACTTTAAATATTATTTTTAGTACTGTATTCATTATGCAAAATGCCTCAGCTCACAATAATATATATCATATTTCTGGTTTATAAACTATTGATTTGTTAATGTGTTTGTGTGCATATACTGCTGGGTTCAGTAAAGTTAACCTAATGATGTATAAGCTGATTATATATTGTATGAATAATTTCGATCTGGAAATTAACTAGTAACTAAAGATTTCAAAAATAAATGTAGTGTAAAAAGTGCCATATTATCATACATGTACAATAAGCGTTGTTGGAGGGTGTCTGAGGGGGGAGGTTTTCCTTGACTGCTTCTCTGTAACCAAACTTGATACTCATTAAACTCATTGTGCACATCCCTGCGAGTTTGTTAATTCCTCCCCTGCATTTGGCCCCACGAACTGTCCCCACCAGACTAACACTAAACCCTGTAACCCCTGCAGTGAGAGCGAGCTGACCTGCTGCTCCCTCCAGGTGCTGAGCGCTGCAGGCAGCCCGGGACGCACTCTCCTCGCTCGGCTAGCCGATCGCTCCTGCTCCCTGGACTTCCTGCTGCACTGCCTGAGGAAGATAGACCACCAGGAAGCTGTGCACTACCTCACCTACACAGGTAAAGAAGAAGTGACTGGGTGTGCAATTACATATATTACAATTTTAGGAAATACCTCTTACTATAACATCCTAGGGATTTGAACTAAACGTGGGTTTGTTTCCCAGCAGGGTTACATTTTAGACTTTTCTAAGGCTACTAGCTGTTGATATACAGTAATCCTTTAAATGTGCTTACTGTGGGGGAAACTTCTGAAGCAATTGGAGTCAGGACTCAGAGAGACACGAGGAGAGCTGGAGCTTTGTTGGCAAACACTGAACGTTTATTTGGAGCTTCGGCCGGAAGCCGAAGACATGTCACAACAAGACATGTCACGGGCCACGGTTTGACCACACGGTTGAGATGCCACAATCAATTCTGAAGAACCCTCCTGTAGCTCCAGGCTTTAACTAGTTCAGAGTGTAATAATCAACATTCTTCAATAGATAGACTAAACAGCTGAGGACACTGAATCACATTTGTTGTCGCTTATGGCTCGGGGTCATCGACACCCCGAGAAGGATGTGTTCCAGGTGTCCCACAACAATAACTATCTCTGATCGAGAGTTGCCTGGTCACAAACTGGTAACAACAACAAAATGCTGGGGCAGCCCCTGATTAGGGGAGGTAGCTGCTGCCCAAGGCTGGGCATCTGCGTCAGAGGGCAAAAGGTAAACATCTATGGAAATTATTCCCTGACACTTACCTAAATGTTAAAGATATTAGTATTAGATTGTGAGTTGATGCTTTGAATTCAGACTGAGTGTGAAAGCGTGTGTAAATGTGTTAAAGGCCACAAATTAGCAGTGTTTGAGAAGCTACTTTGAAAGCTATCAATTACTTTATACTGGAAGAAGTTGAACTACAGCAAAGCTACCCTAGAGAGAAATCTAGTTATAGTTATGATCTAGTTTGGTTAACTGAAAGAGTTGACATGAGATACAAATGTGTAACTTTAATTTTCCTAAAAATAATTAACACACAGGAAAAGTCACATGCCAGAAGAAAATGCCACTCAATGTAGCATTTGCTAAAAGTGCCTGTTTGTTCACAGGTCGTATAGAAAAAAAAACTGTGTAAAATAAATTGTCAGCTTTGTTTTGAATACAGCTGTGTGGTGGTGGCAGCTCAACTTGACAGTGAATAAGATAACATTGTTTGTAGTTTTAGGAAGTTAACTGTAAAAAAATAGCAAATATATCTAACAAATCACTATGCAATTATGAATGTAGTTGAACTATCAACAAGCTAAATTAATTTAAACTACTATTTTACTCACATGCAGTTACTTTGGAATCTTTCTCAGTGTGCGCATTTTGGTTTATAGCAGTGAAATAACTGGCAATAAATAACATTAGTGACAGCTTAGGCAAGGCAAGTTTATTTATAGCACTTTTCAACACAAGGCAATTCAAAGTGCTTTACAAAAATGAATAAAAAGTAAAGATAATAATACAGGTACATGAATAAAAGTTCTATGAATAGTTCAATTAAAAGTAGCGGCAAAAAGAAAAGTCTTCAGCCTGAATTTAAAAGCAGTAAAAGTTGCAGCGGACCTGCAGGTTTCTGGGAGTTTGTTCCAGATATTTGACAAGACCCCAAGCCAAATTCTCACATTCCTCTACCCCTAGTCTTCCCGGGAAATTATAGTTTAGTTCATTTGACACTTTTCTAACCTTTTATATTCCTTTCATCCTTCTCTTTCAATCATTTTTTTTATAACTTAGTACTTTTTTAACGCATTTCAGATATGCAACACTAAGCTGTCTGTGGCTCTTTCCTGCTGTAACGCTGCAAATTTCCCCTCTGTGGGACTAATAAAGGGATTCTGATTCTGATTCTTGATTTGGCATCCCCAGACAACAAGTTTTCCCCTGTTTTACTGTTACCCGAATCCATCTTTGACCTTTAAACCACTTTTATTTTCAATTCCCAGAATTAGGATATTTAAACCTTATCTTGATAAAGATAGCCCAGACAGCAAGTCATAACATATTTCAATACCTGTCCTGTTTCTACTTGTCTCTGTGTGTTTGGGTGCGAAAATACGTCGTTTAGCATGTCGAAAAAATGCCAAAAAAACCATGGTATTTTATGTTGAAATAAGGCACGGTATGGTGTCTAGAAACCAGGCGTAGCATAGTATGTCGTTAAAAATGACAGCCATAATATAGGATGTCGAAAAAATGCAATGTTTGTTTATGTTCGTCATAACATATTTCAATACCTGTCCTCTGTTTCCACTTGTCTCTGTGTGTGTGTGTGTGTGTGTGTGTGTGTGTGTGTGTGTGTGTGTGTGTGTGTGTGTGTGTGATAGAGGCAGAGCTGATCCAGATCACAGTGCAGCCACAGACCCAGCAGGCCACAGTGGGGGGGCGGGTGGTGTTGACCTGCAGAGCCAGCGGCCCCCCGGGACTCAGCTACCAGTGGTTCAGAGGCAAAGAGGAGGTCAGTTAAACCTCGTGTGATTATTTCATAATTAAGGATACACAAGCCTTCTTGTTAATGTAAAACAAATCTGAAATGATTTGTAATCTTATTGCTATCAGCCATGATAAACATGACATCGATATATCCTGCATCCTTAGTGATTATAAAAAGTAATGATGGAGAGATTTCATATCAAAACCTCAGTTATGTGTTATGTATTTATTGAGTTGTTTGGCTAAATGTTTAAAAGGTCTCCTATCATGCAAAATGCACTTTTTAATGTCCTTTATAAATAAATATGTGTCCCCGGTGTGTCAGAAAATAAAACACTCTCTCTTTTCCTCCGTACCCAAATCTCTAAAAACGGGGGAACAACGGAGCTGATCCAGATTTGCGTCCGATATGACGTAATATCGGAAATGTGGGCTGGCTTTACACCCACGGCCCTATCAGAAACAATGCGCGACGTGTTTTGGACGTAATATGGTCTTTGTTTACATTAGCAAACACGTTTAAATATATTTTTATATATCTGAGACCCATAATATATGCCTAAAAATAGCATGATAGGAGCTCTTTAAATGATCTTATATAGATTTTCAAGGTGGAGATGGTAAATATCATTAAGAAATTGTTTATTGTAGATNTTGTATCCTGGTAAATAGTTCTGGTCGTAAAGAACCGGGTGATTTGCTACCGTAATTTGTCGTTTGGAATACTGGCTCTCCCAGCTTGCACGCGGTTTGATTGGCTAGC